CACCTATGCTGTATCGGTGGGCTTCAGCGAGCTTGAACTCCTAAGCGGCACTGTGGACATAGAACAACTGGAAAGCGGATCGGACGCCTTCGAACTCTGTATTGACGAAACAAGGGACGATGTAGACTTGTCTCCTAGTCCGGAGATCTGTGTCATTAGCCGCGTCTTTGCGGAAGTGCGCAGGAATACGATCGTGCCGATAATCTACCATGTCGACCGTAGCCGATCCAAGGACCAGTCTGCTGGTTATCAGTACATGGAACTTGTTCACCACGGCTTGCGTCTCGCCCCAGAGTTTGTGACCGTCGATTTGCACTTGAACGACGCAGAAATTCAATGCATCGTAGATGCCAAAGGCTCTGTAAAGATAATTGGAGACATGACGTGTCTTGAGGAAGCTGCTGAGTGGGATGATGCCTGGTGGGTCGACACGTACGAAAGAGCAGTGAGATTAGGATGCGATGTTGTGCGACTGCGTCGTCCTGGTGTTCGCCTTGAAGACAACTTCGCTGTACAACGATTGCGGGACAAGGTCAACGGATTAGATGGATCTGCGGTACCTGTAACCGCCTTCAATACCGGAAGGCATGGGAAAACATCTCTAGTGTTCAATCCAACTCTCACTTCCGTCCGCCACGAGAGCCTTCCACGAATGAGCGAACCTAGTGTTACTGCCCGGGAATGCACAGAAGCTTTGTCAAAATGCTTCGTTTACGATCCGATGAACTTCTATATTTTTGGCGCGAGCGTCAGCTATAGTTTGTCTCCAGCAATGCATAATGCAGGTTACGAACTGTGTGGCTTACCACACACTTACCGAACGAACCAAACACCGACCCTAAATGACCTTCACGATCTTGTCACTGACCCGCATTTCGGGGGTGTTTCAGTAACGTTGCCATTTAAGATTGAGATCATAGCTCTAACACATTCTCTCAGCCGCCATGCTAAGGCGATCGGCGCAGTGAATACTCTTATTCCTGTCCGAGAGCTTGCCGCTGATGGGACCATTCCCGACGAGCTGAGCCTGCTCAAGGAGCGCAATCGTGCTGGGCCGGTGAAGGCACTCTATGGCGAAAACACTGATTGGATTGGTATCCGAGCTTGCATCCGGCGTGGACTCTCCCCGGTTAATGCGGTACGACCGCAAAGCACTGCACTGGTCGTAGGAGCTGGTGGTATGGCCCGAGCTGCCGTCTACGCATTACTGCAGCTAGGAGTCAGAAATATTTTCATCCACAACCGGACACTGGCAAATGCGGAACGCCTTGCTGAATACAACCAGCAGCTTGTTTCTGGTCCCAGTGAGCGGCGTATTGACAGAGACTTCAAAGACGTTCGACTTCACGTTCTGGAATCGCGAGAAGCTCCTTGGCCGTCAGCTTATCGACAACCAACTATTGTCGTCAGCTGTATCCCAACGCACAGTGTTGGCGATAGTCCTGCTCCGCCAAAGTTTACGATGCCGGCGCAGTGGCTTAAGAGCCCAACAGGAGGCGTGGTACTAGAGGTATGGAATGGAATCCCCAAGAGTGACAAAAATGTGGGCCGCAGCTAGTCTCGCTTACCTTGAAGTGCAAACGCTCGTCGTCCTTATGCATTACAGCTTGGCCGGCGGCCAACTATTTTGTCATCCTCGAGACCCTTTGACATAACGGATACAGACAACGGCTAACACTGTAATAGGTTGCATACAAGACCCTGCACACCCCACTCCTGGAGCAGATCCGCGCGGAAGTTGATCGGGGCTGGGTTGCCATGGATGGGCTAGATCTACTTCCAGAACAGGGCTTTGCACAATTTGAGCTGTTCACAGGAAGGCGAGCTCCCCGACGATTGATGAGGGAACAAGTACTGCGACAGTACCGTGATAGTGGTGTCCAAGATACAGACCTCATTCAGTCTCGTTTGGCTCTCATTGACGAGCAAGAACCGTGAACTGGGCTCGAGATATGGTCAGGAGCTGAATCATAACTCGTGTTGAAACACTAGAGAAAACCGAGTAGTACAACTAGTTACACCTGTTGCGTTCCTCAGTCTATACGCTCTGCGTGATAGGACATTCAGAATTGGATTGAAACCTCGTGAGCAGAGGTATATATGTACAGCTTGTAGGTTGGTCTTTCCATGGAGCTTGTGGTGACTTGTTTGAGAACTCTCCTTGCTGGCACGGTCGGTCTCCCATTACCTGACCCTTTTCGAGATGTATTAATTATGCAGCAGTTCCGTGGATGAGCAGTCCGCCGGGGGTTCCCACGGAACCCTAAAGCTCTGGCGAGATGAGCCACACTGAGCCTGGACCGGATGAGTGACTTTGCTGAGCTGTTGCGGAGATTGATTCTCAAAGTCAATCGTGCAAACGTTGTAGAGCTCCCGCGATTGTTGCAATGACTGATTGTCGCAACATGTCAAATTCCCGGGAGTCGTTTTCTGTCGCAGCGCAAGCAAATTGCCCGACAAACAATCCACGTCACTCGCGTGGCTGTTCAGACACCCAGTTTCACATATAAATTGCCACACCAGATCTGAAGAGTGTTTTCACAAAATCCAATGTGCCGCATCGATCATACCGTCTGGCGATGTTACAGCTATGAATATCGAGTGGCGAGACCATGCGACCAACAATTGATGCGCAATGAATCGTGTGGTGCTGGCTACATATGGCATGACTTTGCTCCAGCGACGAAATGTCCAGCTTGTGGGCATATCCCAATGTCTGAAGAGATGGTACCTTGTCCTCTGCCGCTCAGAGGCTTGGGAGAGAAGTCTGGAAAGAAGGGAAACCTTTTAGACAAAGAGTAAGGAGTTACAAGAACTAGATGTATGTACAAAAACAACAATCATGATACATTCTCCCTAGTCAACATCCGGAACAGGGAGGCCTTCGTAAAATTTCATCTTTCTTCCTTGGGCCTCCATGGCCTTCCTAGCGTTCTCTTCCCGCAGGTCAGCTGCTTCCTTGTCTGAGACGAGAACAAAATCATAGGTGAGCAGCTTTGCGCCTTCCTTGACGCCGTACTCCTTCGCCTGTTCCGGGCTCACGGTGCCAAGCTCAACAATAAGCGTCTCCTTGACACCAAAAACAGCATCGGAAGTCTCGTATGGATCGTGTCGGAGGTATAAAGCCGTGATCAAATGGTCGTAGTCAGGCTTTTCGAACATAAAGTGCATATGACTTGGTCTGTATGGATGACGCTTAAGCATCTTAAGCAACTTGCCGACTGGACCATCATGCGGTATTGGATAAGGAACCGGCACTATTGCCTTGAAGTGAAAGGTGCCTTGACTGATGTTAGCAATTGTACTCGGCCTTTCAGAAATAATTGGTAGTGCGAGCAGACAGATCCAGTAGTGAGGGTTTCAAATACCTTTATCATCGGTATTAAGGATCGCTCGGCCGTCTGGGCCGTCTCTCTCGCTATATTGAACGTCGTAGAAGCCTTTAGAGTCCGTTTCCCACACGTCTATTTTTACATCTGGTATTGGCTGCCCGGTTGTGTCCTTCACTGTGCACACTACAAGGCACGGTTCGCCATCTGGGTCATGTGAAATGGTGCTACCGTGTGATTCTATATGCGCTTCGTGGGTATGAAAAGGTCCGAGGACAGTACCCTCGGTGCTCGCCGGAGGCTTCGGATGATCGATGCTATCGACGAGGAGAGACAGGCCAAGAACATCTGAGAGGAGGATGAATTCCTGCAAAGGGTTATCTATCAATCTAAAAGAGTATCGTCATTATAGGGCAACACACCTGCCGTACATCGGTGCACATCTGTCCGACTTCGGTAAGAAACCTCAGGCCGATCGCCCACTCCTTTGTGGATAGCCTCGTCTCTCGTGCAAAGTCGTGTAGATGTGTGACCAGTCGCTCGAGGACATATTTCAATCGTGGATCAGGAGTTCTTGAGTTAATCATGTGGACATTCTCTGTAATGTTTTCGATGGTCAGGTCCTTGAGAGGAGGGACATCAACTTGAGATGGATCCATTGCTCCAAATTAGCTTGCGATTGACGCTTTTTGGTTATATTGTCACAGTGAAAATGCTAGAGTTGTAGGAAATTGTAGAGTATCGTGTGCTGGGCTCACACTCAGGGCTTCATTTTGAATGTGAGCTTCCTAATTGTTATTGCCCCGCAACTTTGGAAGTTCGACCGGCGGCAGTCTCGAGCGGGAATCATCGCCTCCACATGGAGATTTCAGAGCATTTCAAAGCGGAGTTCAAGAAATGGCCCGCCATGATGTATATCGAAGCTAAGTCTTCCGCGGAACAATGCAATTGAGCATAGAGGAGTTGTCACCGTGCCGGAGATGCGTATTCGTCAGACGAGACATACGATTGATAAGGGCGAACGGGAAACAGGAACGAGATCACTTGTCTGAAGGGGCTGGAATAGCGTGGAAGATGATGAAAGGCTAAAGTACATTCGTCGGTAGCAACAAAGTTGTAATGTTGTGGTTGTTCAAGATGGCGGAGGGAAAGGGAAATTCCTCGCCTTAGAGTTCCAAGCCCCGTCAAGCCGCCCCATTGGCTGCCAAGTGGTGGCTTCAACATGACTCTCCGCGAGGACATGATACACACGCCCCTTACTTAACACAGACTATACACGTTGAAGCTGCGAATTTTAGATAAATACTATCTGGTATATATCTAGCCGAGCTTTCCGTGGTGTTCTCGTCCGTGTGGAAGAATAAAACTCGTTCTTACTACGGGCGCTCGGCCAATCGGACTCGACTATTTTGTCAGCTTCATGGCTGCTCATTTCACGGCATAATTCCGCTCGTGTGATGCTTTCTGGTTTATGACATTTCATTATTTGATTGAAGCACTGTTGAGGGGAATTTCGAGCTTTTGGACGGGAGTTGTCATGTAATAGATAGACAATCAGTTTTTAATGATCGTCTTGGCGAACCAATAAGACATGTCTCACATAAGTATATAGTCATAACGGCAACTTCCGAAGTAGAGTTTTTCTGCCCTCGAGTGGTTAGATTGTATTCCGGCACCTTGGCCTAATGGTAAGGCGTTGCTTTCCGGCGGAGGATGGCAAAGATTGTGGGTTCGAGTCCCATAGGTGTCGTGTGAATTCATTTTTGTCAGTCTTGACCTTGCTTTTTGATCTTCCGCAGCACTCCGATTGCTTTTCTTTTTTTTCCTTGCACATTTCCAGTGGGACGGTGCAGGTGAAGATGCCGTTCTCTGCACCCAGCCTCCTGCGGAGGAGGTAATTCGCTCTATGCTTGATAAAACAAGCATGTCTGCCTACATGTATCACTGAAATTGTCAAGGTTACGATTTCCCATACGGTACACTCGACAGCTTTATCGAAATCGTAAAACTACGTCGATTGAAGGAACTGGCTTTATCCAACATTCTTCCACTTCCAAATCGACTGGTCCTCGTATAGAATTCGAGAGTGAGCAACTATCAGATCAACGCTATAATATGCGAGCTGACATCTCCCTGCAGAAAGTGTAGATAAGAAGTTCGACTCCATATCACTCCAGTTGAACCGTCCTGCGGGCCAAGCTACTGGCATCTCATCGCTGAAGGTCCGTGGGGGAGGTATTCGAGTATCTGGAAGTGCCACTGATCATTGCCTTAGCATGTCAAGAATGTTCCTGTCTACATTCAGTCGAGCCACCCACATGTACGGCTTGATCCTCAGACAAACAAGATTTCGTTCTTGTCCCAAGAAAATGGCCATTATGTTACCATGTGAGGCAAATTATCTCCAAGTATCTTATTCCAGCTAAGTTACTCGTAGCTATTCCAAGTGGCTGAGGTAAGAGAGCTCTTTGCTTAACTTGAACAGCTCATATTCAGAGTTCAAAGGGATAATTGCCAGTGTCTCGAATGCAAACATCCTGTGACTAAGCAGCGTTTGTTCGATATATTTGAGGTTCGTCATGTAGCAAGCTAGTCTATGAAGTTCTCGCACATATTGAGCGCTGATAGCCTTCTGCGTGGACGAACGCAGAGCCTGAATCGATTACGGAGACGCCTGACGAGTTTCAAATTCGTTGTACGCCTTAAAATAGTATCGAAAACTATCAATTATGCTGATCGCACAAGGGACCGACGGGCACTCGAGCTCTTTCTCTAAGAAATGGATTGCGGAGTCTGTTGACAAGCGCCAGCACCGCGCTACAGATCAACAGGCATTGGTCACGTTCGATTCTCCCTTCGCAATGGGCTACACGTTACTAAATTATAGTCAGTCTCCAAGAATGGCCTCGCAACCAAGACGGCAAAATACTTCCTCCCGAGGTCAAGTACGAACAGGTGATGGAGTCAGACAATGGCGTCGCGGATTGGTTGATGAAAATAGTGAGTGATGCTGAGGGTACATTTGATTACTTTCTGACGCAGAGGCGGTTGCCTCTACAGCGAAGCTATGGGTTCTGCTACGTTGATGGATGCCCAAGCACCCCAGAAGCGACAAAGGAGCTGCTAGAAAAGATCGCGTTCATTCGCAACACACACTACGGCAAGTATCGTTTCGAGAATGCCATGGTCAATCTCTAATATGCATTAGGTGGTTTCTGGGATTTCACGTCCGACCTGTCGAAAGGCGACACAGCGTACACAGATTTAGCAATCGGTCCACATACGGACAATACTTACTTCACAGATCCCGCTGGCCTTCAGATGTTTCACCTCCTGTCGCATGAAGATGGCGAAGGTGGTATGTCTGGCCTCGTCGATGGCTTTGCGGCTGCAAGTGAGCTCTCACGAGAGTTCCCTGAAGATTACCGTACTCTCAGCTCTGTCAATGTGCATTGCCATGCGAGTGGCAATGACGGTTCCAGCATCCAGCCTGCCACTGGTTTTCCTGTATTAGTACACGACCATCGATACAATCATCTGATCCAAATACGATGGAATCCCGCGGACAGAGCACAGGTTGATGTGCCCGTAGATGAAGTGCAAAACTGGTACAGGGCGGCAAGGTAAGATTTTGCCTGATGTGCGATAGATGACTAAAACTTGCAGACGTTGGACGGAGACTTTGAAGAAGTACGAGTTCTGGGAACAACTACGCCCCGGGCGTCCGTTGAGTGAGTCGATATCTCTTGAAGGAAGAGAGTTGCTAAATTGGAACAGTCTTTGACAACTGGAGAGCCCTGCATGCGCGGACAGCATTTACTGGAAAGCGAAGGATGTGTGGCGGCTACAGTAGGTAAAGTTTCGAAGGTAGTTTTGCCTTGAGTTATAACCGGTGTACAGTCAACCACGACGACTATATCTCTCGATTTAAATCAACAAACTGGGGTAACAGCTGGATGTTGGAGACGGTCTCGTTGGGTTGAATGGAAGATTTCAGGTTAACGGTGGCACTCATGATCAGTACCACTCTGTGTAAATGGTGCTGAACATTAAGGGGCGATATATAATGATAAATAGGTGTCATTGGATGCGTTACATGAAGTGTGAAGCCTTGGCTAGTGAGGCTGCGCGGCAATTTTAAACGCGCCAAGCGCCACGTTGCCGCTGGAGCTTCATAAGCTCGCTGCCGTCTACGAACATTTGTAAATGAGCCCAACTTCACCACACTCAACCACCACTTGATCTTTGCTTTTCTGTAGAAGCACTTTCTACCTTATTCCAACTGCTCTCCCCGCTCCCAAGACATTTCCACGACCTAAATCGCCACCATGTCCACATTAGAAGATCTTGACGACCTTGAAGGCCTCGGAAAGGACAAGGAAGACAAGAAGGACGAGGGCGACAAGGACGGCGATGACAAGAAGGGCACCAACGGCGCTTCAAAAGACAGCAAGGATGCGGACATGAAGGATGCCGAGAAGGAGGAAGACGACGTTCTCGACGCGGAAATCCTACACTCAAGTACCCGAGATATCATCGCGCGAAAGCGCCTGCTGGAGAACGACATGCGAATCATGAAGAGCGAGTTCCAGCGGTTAACACATGAGAAGACAAATATGAGGGATAAGATCAAGGACAACCTAGACAAGATAGACAACAACAGGTAGGCATGCTCCGAGTTTGAACTCCGAAGAGCGTTTGCCGCCACGCGGCATAGTGTTTTATGAACATGGACTCTAAACTCATATTTTCTCTGTAGACAACTGCCATATCTTGTCGGCAACGTCGTTGAAATATTAGACCTCGATGTCACCGCCGAAGCCGCAGAAGAAGGAGCCAACATTGACCTCGACGCCACTCGCGTCGGTAAATCCGCAGTCATCAAAACCTCTACACGCCAGACCATCTTCCTCCCTCTCATCGGCTTGGTCGACCATGAGAAGCTTAAACCAGGTGACCTCATCGGTGTCAACAAGGACTCCTACCTCGTCCTCGACACACTACCTGCAGAGTACGATAGCAGAGTCAAGGCTATGGAGGTTGACGAGAAACCAACAGAGAAGTACTCAGATGTTGGTGGACTGGACAAGCAGATCACAGAGTTGGTAGAGGCTGTGGTGATGCCCATGAAAGAGGCAGAGAGGTTCCAGAAGATTGGCATTAAAGCCCCGAAAGGTATTGTTCCGCACGACTTCCTTTCGGAAGCTCTCAGCTAACATAGATCGCCAGGTGCTCTTATGTACGGCCCTCCCGGAACTGGAAAGACTCTCCTCGCTCGTGCATGCGCTGCTCAGACCGACGCCACCTTCCTCAAGCTTGCTGGCCCTCAACTCGTACAAATGTTCATTGGTGACGGCGCGAAGCTCGTACGCGACTGCTTTGCGCTGGCGAAGGAGAAAGCACCATCAATCATCTTCATCGACGAGCTGGACGCCGTTGGAACAAAGCGCTTTGACTCGGAGAAGAGTGGTGACCGCGAGGTGCAGAGGACCATGTTGGAGCTGCTGAACCAGCTTGACGGTTTCGCATCAGACGAGAGGATCAAAGTCCTCGCCGCGACGAATCGTGTCGACGTGCTCGACCCTGCGCTGCTGCGCTCTGGTCGTCTGGACCGGAAGATCGAGTTCCCTCTGCCAAACGAGGAGGCCCGCGCCCAGATTCTGCGCATCCACAGCAGAAAGATGACTGTCGACGAGGGCGTCAACTGGATGGAGCTGGCGCGCAGCACGGACGAATTCGGTGGCGCACAGTTGAAGGCTGTGTGCGTGGAGGCGGGCATGATTGCGCTGAGGGGTGGGCAGGCGAAGATCATCCACGAGCATTATGTCGATGCCATTGCGGAAGTGCAGGCGAAGAAGAACGCAACAGTCAACTTCATTGCTTAAGGTGCCTACCTGTAAATTGATATCTTCCTTTCTGAAGTAATGCATCGGCGGAGTAGATCTGGATAGAGAGGGTCGGCCTCACCTGAATAGCCCTTTGCTACCGAAAATAGGAGATATCCTTCCCAAAATCTCTTACGTGCTTGCCTTTGGGAGAGTTATTACGATGTCTATCCTTGATATCAAAGACATGGTGGCGTCAATGAGGTTCAAGTCCATCTTCAGCTGAGTATCTGGATTAAAACAGAGCTTTCAAGGATGGATAATATGTCACGACAGACTGATCGACATGAGAGGCGCTCAATCCTGCAAATTGCATAGCGTGATGGACATCAGAAAGCCTAGTTTCGATTGTAGAGAATTGAAGGCAAGCTTCGCATGTCGAATTACGCCCTCAATGTCCTAAACAGAAAAGCCTCAAGCCAGAAGCTCGTCCTCCTTCAAGACTCGAGTAATCCATGGAAAACTTTTGACCGTGAATGCAAAGTAGAGACGCATTCCTCCAGTGTAGCCTTCACCAGCTTCGTTCAATCCTGCCATCCAGCCCACTAGCCATCCTGCTCTATACCTCACAGCGCAAACATGCCAACAGCGACGCCAACCTGAGCCAGCGCACCTAGTCCACCAACAATAACCTTCTGCGAAGCCGCACCAGTGGACGATGCAGCGGCGCTCGCTCCTGACGTCGAGCTTGCGGATCCAGAAGTCGACGCGGACGTCTTCGTCGCCGAGCCTGAGGAAGAGCCGGCGGTTGCGGAGCCGGAAGAAGAAGAGCTCACAGCTTTGGCGCAGAGTTGGTCGGCTGCGGGTTGGATCTCTGTTTAGAAAAGTACGGTCAGCATGACGCTCTGGCTACTATGAAGGTTCC